TTTCGGAGACTATTTTCAGATGCTGGAGAGAAGCCGAAGAGCGATGAGATTGTCACCAAGGAGACATGAGAAACAGAGCCCAGCTCCGGGCAGCGAGGGGCTGCAGGGAGGGGAGGGAAGGGCTTCCTGCAAGCCCCAGGGCCCGCACATAGGGCTCAGCACCGACCCTGGCCCCTGGCAAAGAGCCAGCACATCCCCGTGGCAGGCGGGGGGACAACACCCGAAAACAGCAAGGGACAGGTCAGGGGACCCAACCCTTCCTTCCCCTGCTGCCAGGCTGGGCTGCTCTGTCCCCACTGGTCAGTGATCTGCAGGAGAGGCCCCAGGATATAAGGCGTACCCCAGACCCCAGCTATGCTGGGAGCTGCTCCCCCATGCAGGGGGGCACACTTACCTGCCGTGGGGCAGCAAGAACGACCTCCAGCTCAGGGAAGGACACAGAACGGTGAGATGGTGGCACAAATACTTCTTGTACCTAGCAAAGCGTGGGGAGAGCCAAGCTGCTCTACAGACCCGAAAGGGTCAGGGAGGCCCTGATGGGGGCAGATGGAGGCCAGGAGAGCAGCTGAGTGCTAAATTTTAATAGAAATCCTTAAGAAACAAAGGGAAAAGCGCAGAGCCCAGAAGAAGAGCACCAGCCTGCAGCCCCCACACACATGCTGCAGGTCACCTGGGAGAGCTGACAGCCCTACTGTCCTCACAACAAACCCCACAACTGGTACCCATGGTCTCTCTAACGTGCATGACTCAAACTTCACCCAGGCCCCGAGGCTGAAGGGGGGACCCAGGATGTTGGCACAGGCATTGAGAAAGGATGAAATGGGTTGGTTCAAAGTCCTAAGCTCTGCTCCTTCCAGAGGAGCAGAGTGGAGGATGGCTGGGGACTTCTCCAGGGGCCAGGCTGCAGTGGGGCAGGAGCAGACTCAGCTGCCCACAGTTCAGGACAAGCACATGGAGACACAGGCAAAGAAGGGCTCAGCCATGCTGGTCGGCTGACTCCAAGCTCAGCCAGCTCCCACACATCAAAGAAACCACCATGTCAGGCTTTAAGAGCAGCCTAGGACAAAGGCCAGCCAAACCTGAATTGCCCAGGCTTTGCTATTTGTTTTAAAGATGGAAGTCACACAGGTCTCCTCTTTACTCAGTAAAACAGCCCTCTCTAAAAACAGGCCCCACAAGTAAGTGTTCAGTACAGAGGGCTCCCATAGCCCATGCTCTCCGGAGCAAGCTCCTGTCTTTTCCTTTGAGGTAGGTTGAGGTGTCCCACAGGGAGGGACTGCAGCTGCCTGGTCACATCACCAGGGCGGTGTCAGAAAGGCAGCCAGCAGGTTTCTGGTCGGCTCCACCAGTGCACTTGTTGAGAGGTAATTTCTGAGTAGAGCTGGGCTCCAGGCATCTCTTGCGGCCCTCACCAGCTGAAGACAGGAGCGTGCTGCAGGAGAAAGGAGACCCCATGCTGCTTAGGGACAGTGAGAAAGGATCAAAAGGGCCATGGTGCAACATTCATCTGCAGTATCATTATACACAGACTCAGAGATAGGGCTGCTAGCCTCAGCTACTCCATCTCCTATCCCAGGCAGCACTACCCACCCCAACAGACATCCCAGACACTGATGGGACTTTAGGGTCACAGCTTAATCTCCCTGCTTGCGCATAGACCCAACTCCATCCTGGCCTG